ACTTCTACCCTTCTGATCAGAGGTAAGAAAGACCAATAAAATCAGGTGCATTGTCTTGCCAGAAAAGACTTCTCTCCTGTCAGCCTTGGCAGTCTGATGAGCTGATGCCAGGCACTGTGGTAGCACCTTTTTGCAGCAGGGGAGGCACTGCTCTAGCACAGTTTAAAAATGCAGTGTTACAGCTGGAGCCTGAGAACCAATTACAATATCAAAAGGACATTCAACTTGTCCTTACATTGCCTGGGGACATGGAGACAGGCCTATTCCACTGCTGCCAACAGCACCACACCAATGTGGATGTGGCAAAGGTGCAGAGCTCACAGCATGCATGGCCGGTCCTTTATCACCTCCAGATGATGGATGCTAAAAGTAGACTTTTACAGAGCAGATCTGCCCTTGTCATAGGAGCAGCTCACGTAACTTCCATGGGCATCCTAAAGCAAATGTCCCAAACAGGTGAGAAACCTACACCTTAAAAACAGCTTTTGTTGACCACAAAAAATTCCTATGAACCTGCTCAGTTGTTCCATATTGTAGTTTTCTATGTGTTCTGTGAGACCATGTTCACAAGGAAATCATAGTTTGATGGCTGGCCTTTAGGGCCATTGCTAATGAGCAAGAATTAGTTTACCTGTGGGAGCTGACGTGGGTAGGCAGGTCTACGTGAAATCACACATCAGTAAAAATTCATGGAGAGGAGAACATTCAAAATGTGATCTTTTTCTCCCCTTCTTTCCGTGACGATGACACAGGATCTCCACAACTACAAGATTACAAACATTTTGCTGACTCTAGAAAGCAGTCTTAAATAAAGGAGCTGATTAACTTGTGATGAATGATACTTCGTTAAAAGCAGGGGCTCTTAGTCCCTATAGGGATGCTGGGGAGTGACTCTTCATTAGGGACTGTAGTGATAGGACAAGGGGTAATGGGTTCAAACTTAAACAGGGGAAGTTTAGATTGGATATAAGGAGGAAATTCTTTCCTGTTAGGGTAGTGAGGCACTGGAATGGGTTGCTAAGGCAGGTTGTGAATGCTCCATCCCTGGTGGTGTTCAAGACCAGGTTGAATGAGGCCTTGGGTGCCACGGTTTAGTGTGAGGTGTCCCTGCCCATGGCCGGGGGGGTTGGGACTTGATGATCTTAAGGTCCTTTCCAAACCTAACTATTCTATGATTCTATGATTCTATGATTCTATTCTATGATTCTATGGTAAACTAGTTTGTCATATGTGATCACAGTTTATGCCACTTTAGTTCATTAATATACCCTTACAATAAGGCACCTGTATATTAGAAAAAAAATGGAAAATTATGTTTCTAATGCTTTGATGGGTTTTGTCATAAAACCAGTAAAAGTGTATTGATAGTTGAGGGTAATGTATGATTGGCTCATTCTGACTATGCAGTTAAACCTTTAAGAGGAAACACAATATTTTTCTTGAAAACAGATGGTGTATGTTAGATGGCATCCAGCTATGGTGCACAATTTGTTATCCCATTTTCAGTAATATTTATCTATCTATTTTGTGTTCTTTTCTACCTGCTTCCTTGGCAACAGGATAGTACCTTATGGGCCATCACCATAAACACAAATTATAACTGGTAATTCTTTGGGAAAAGGGGCATTAGACAGCAGGTGAAATGCAGTCTCATTTGTGGCTAGTTCTTAGCAGAGGGTGGAACCATTAGACAAAGGCTGACCTGCCCTTTGCCTGACCTTGAAGGGGAAAACGCAGCTTGCACTCTAAATACTTGCGGGTAGCTGGATCCTATAGTGATATCAAGTCTTATTTTCAACGTGCTTTAATCCAAGCAGGTTCAATGGCCCCCAGTCTCCCATTAGCTTCTTCCTTTGCCTGCAGCCAGGGGTTGGCCGGATGCTGGGCTGACAAGACACAGCACTTGAGCTGTATGGGGTTTAGTTCTGCATCTTCAGTCACCAGAGCTCAGAATAACCCAGGCTTCATAAAACCTGCTCATGATGCAAACCTCAAGTCTTCAAGTCCAGATTTCCCACAGAAATGTTTCTGGAAACTGGCACCCCAGCTTCTTGTCTTCCCTGTATCGTGTTAATCACAGGGAATGGGAGTGGGAAAGTGACTGGTAATTTACTCACATCATCCAAAAATTATTACTCATCCCACTTGAAAGAATAAGTGATTCTTTACAACCAGAAGGAGGACACATGGTTTTGAAGCTGGAGTGCCTTGACTTAAAAGAGCAGCAGACCCTGAATGTGTTTTTTCATTTTAGTGGCATGTTTAAACAAAAGGTGGAAGACTTTAATTTAGCCATTAGAGGTCAGTAAATCACAGGTTATTTGTCGGTTTGTTAAATTCAATTATTGGGGGAAAAAATAGAAACAAGGGAAAGTAAAATAAATACAACTTTTCTGAAGCTTTAGGGTTACATGCTGGGTGAGGTAGAGGCCTGGGATTGGGATTTTAAGAGTAAAATTGTGGTTTTTGGCTGCAAATGAGCACAGCTAAGAATCAGTCCACATCCGTCAGAATTTGTTGGTGTTCTCTTTGTAAGCCTTATATCAACACTTAGACATCTGCCCAATGTAAGATGCAGAATCAATCCACGGAGCTGGGGCTGGCACTAGATAATGCTTTTCTCATACTTGGATGTGCAGCCACTACACCACACTGCAAAGTTACGTTCTTGTATACTGCTGCACGCTCAGCCCAGGGATTTATCTCTCCTGCTCCACAGCGGCCCAAATGCAGTGGGAAAGATGCAAGGAAATACAGACTTCCACACACATACTAGGGGACAAAAAAAATCCATTATTTCTTTTATGCTACTGCAACTAACAGGAGATTGTCTCAATCAAAATAAGGCAACTGCACAAGATTTAATAATGTCTGATCCTAATCAATGTAACTTAAATAATGTATCTATTGGCCATCTAACAGTGAGCTTGCCTTCTGACCCCTGCCAAAGAAAAACTTGGGCTCATTTCTCTCCTGAGCCTTCTCCCTCCAGGATTTTTCTGCTGACTAATTTTCTGCTGGCTTATCTGAAGCTAACTTGATACTTGCTCCCTGAAATGAATGCTCAGATTTGCTAAACAGTTCTTCATATGTTACTGTTCCTGGGTATCCAGGTGCTAAGCTGCAGCCTGGAGGCATCTCCTGGCTCCTTGCAATCACATCCCCCTCAAGCATACGTCTTGCTGTGCCAGGCTGCCATGCTGTTTCATATGAACCTTAACCTTGATCCTTAACTCCACAGATATTTCATAGAACCATAGGATAACAGAATGGTTTGGGTTGGAAAAGACCTTAAGATCATCTAGTTCCAACACCCCTGCCATGGGCAGGGACACGTCTCACTAAACCGTGTTACTCAAGGCTCTTGTCCAACCTGGCCTTGAACACTGCCAGGGATGGAGCATTCACAACTTCCATGGGCAACCCATTCCAGTGCCTCACCACCCTAACAGGAAAGAACATCTTCCTTAAATCTAACCTAAACTTTTCCCGTCTAAGTTTTAGTCCATTACCCCTTGTCCAATCGCTACAGTCCCTGATAAAGAGTCCCTCTACAGCACCCCTCTTTGAAATAGAGGGAATGTGAGCATCAGCCTGGTGAAGTGCATCCCCTGATAGTGCGCACTCACTTTCGTTATGGGAACATGCCAGGACAGGAGGCAGACACACGTCTCTTAATCAGTTACAGGAAGACTATCAGGCTGCCAATGTAATGACCCTGTCAAAAAGACAAAAGCCAACCTGAATTGAATATTCTCAGTGAAAAGTGTTTATAAGATGGTATAAGGTGAAGGTGAAACTTCCTCAGGAGCTGCTCTCAGTCCCGTGTCAGACAGTTTGTCTTCCAGGCAAGGAGGTTCACTCAAAAGATGAATGGATATAGACAGGGCCACAGTGATGGTCAACAGGCAAGCAAAGAAGCTAAAACATCACAGCTTGTCTAGTCTGTCACAATAAAGGCTTGGGATAGTTGTGACAGTTGACTATAAATACACTGAAGGCTGAGGGTAGAGGATGGAGACAAGCTATGCAGGATGAAGAATATACTTGGCACAAAACCAGATGTGTATAAATTGCCTGTAAATCAAATTTAGGTCAGAACTCAGGAAAAGATTTCCAGATCTCTCCAGCGCCTGCATTTCTCATAGGCACCAAATGATTTATTTCAATTTAGATCTTTGTTAATTAAACAAGACATGATTAACCATGACAGGAGAGGACTGGAACTTGTAATCCAGAAGGCCTGTAGGACTGTTAGCTAGCTAGACCCCTTTTAAAAGTGTTTTACAAATAGATCATCAAGGAATAGCTCCACAGAGTCAAGTTCTGCTGTGTGTGCTGACACATCATATTGTGGGAATCCCTCACAGTGAGGAAATTAAGGCTTCCAGCCCCTAACTGGCAGGTGATTGCCAAGGCCTGCAAGCAACAAAACGTGAGGTGACACGTTGTGCGAGATTTATGTCCACAAGGAAAATGGACCTTGAATGGATGAAGAACCTCCTTTATTTATGAATCCCAGATATTTGTGTTGAAATATGTGGTCCTTGGACAAAGTGGGGGGAAAAAAGATGTCTTCTCTAGACTCCAAAAGCAGATAGGCACAGAGCAAGGTTTCTGCTGAGCCTGCACTCAGAAAAGAAGGGAAAAACATTGAGGGTATGTTCCAGTGAGGCACTGGAATAGGCTGCCCAGGAAGGTTGTGAATGCTCCATCCCTGGCAGTGTTCAAGGTCAGGTTGGACGAGGCCTTGGGTGATATAGTTTAGTGTGAGGTGTCCCTGCCCCTGGCAGAGGGGTTGGAACTTGATGATCTTAAGGTCCTTTCCAACCCTAACTATTCTATGATCCTATGATCATGGGTTCAGAAGCTTCTTCATTTATTCTGAAGAAATAAAACAAACGCAGTAAAGTAAAAGGAACTGAATCCTGTGGTTAGGGATTTGAACTTGGGCTGGTGAGTCAGCCCTCTGACATCCAGAAATAGTCTTCTGCTTCAAAACAAGATGTCCTTCTGAGGAGAGGCTGAGCCACCGTAATGCACTGATGACTACAGCGTTGGTGGGACAAGGGAAGACTCTGCCATCACCCTCTTGGAAGCCAAAGGTAAGGTAGGGGCTTCCATAGCCCTGCAATGGGAGGTTGTGCAAAAGCTAGAGATTGGGGCTGTTGATCTTACAGGATCACTGCAGAGCCCCTGTCCCGCTAACAGATTTTCTGCTTCAAAAGTAGAAGCTGAACTTCATGTTCTTGGGTCCACGTTCATGAACAGTCTGATTTATGCAAGTCTTGAGCATTCAGTAACTTACTTTAATTTCAGTGGGTTGTTTTGTGGGTTTTTTTGTAAACAGTGCATCATTCTGTTTAAATAGAGAAGAAAGCTGCAAGACTGTCAAAATAACAAACAGCTTGGTGTACGTGATATTTTAATAATTCTCCTCCTTAAGCATCACGGCCCTTATCATCATCCTAGCTCAATGACAAATGATTTGATCTTTCATTTTCTCTAATCAAGAGCTCTGGAACTAAATCATTTTACTTAATGGGAACAGCAAAGTCACTTGAATAATGCAGATTCAGAGCTCTACTCAGATGTGACTTCTGAGCAATGTGCTATCTGGGTCAAACTGTGGATAAAAAAAAGGAAGAGGAGAGACTAGGATGAAAAAGACAGAAAAGTAACCAGAGACAGAAGCAAAAAAATTCATCTGTTTTGGTAGAGGAAGATAGCACATCACATTAACAGGCTAGAAGATAAATCTATCATCAGCTCTGTTTTCATCATGTAGAGTGGATATTTTAAGAAACTTCATCAACTAAGTAGGAAGTTGCTATGTGGCTAATAAGGAAGATTGGGTGAGATAACAACACAAACAGCCTCGGGGAAAAACCCATGATAGAAACTGATGGCAACAGCTAAAAGCTGCTATTTAAACAACTTTTTAAATTATTATTGATGTAAGAGCTATCATGTGTTCTTCATGCTGCAGTATCCACCATGAAGGTCACATTTGAAACAATGCACATTGATCTGAGCCTATGTAAGAGAGACATTGTAGATGCAGAATAATGATTTGGTCCCTGCATCATGCTCTCACACACTTTCTGTATGGGCACAATGCAACCCACTTCTGACATTTATTTCTCTGCAGACTGCCCAGCCCTTCTCCCAGTGAGGCAGGCTGGAGGCCCTGCAGGAAGAAACTTTTGCTGAAGCTGTACAGTAGCGATTCCCCAGGCATTGCTTGTGTCCAGCTCCCACTGTTCTGGGGCATCATAAGTCCCACAATACAGTGTGAAGCGATGTGAGCATACCTTAGCAACAAGAGCTGAAAGCTACTATTCATACCAGCCTCCCTATTGATTTAAAAGCAATTATTCGCCTGAGTATCACAGTATCACAGTATCACAGTAGGTTAGAGATTGGAAGGGACCTCAAAAGATCATCTAGTCCAATCCCCCTGCCGGAGCAGGAACACCTAGATAAGGTTACACAGGAACGTGTCCAGGCGGGTCTTGAATGTCTCCAAAGAAGGAGATTCCACAACCTCCCTGGGCAGCCTGTTCCAGTGTTCCGTCACCCTCACTGAGAAGAAGTTTCTTCTCAGGTTTAAGTGGAACCTCTTGTGCTCCAATTTGTATCCATTACCCCTTGTCCTTTCATTGTTTGCCACTGAGAAGAGCCTGGCTCCATCCTCGTGACACTCCCCCTTTATATATTTATATACACTAATAAGGTCACCCCTCAATCTCCTCTTCTCCAAACTGTAGAGACCCAGCTCCCTCAGTCTTTCCTCATAAGGGAGATGCTCCACTCCCTTAATCATCTTAGTTGCCCTGCGCTGGACTCTCTCCAGCAGGTCCCGTCTTTCACCATCCGCCCCAGCGAGTAAGCCCCGCTCACGTGAGAAAGGGTTTACAAAATCATGGCCAAAGGCTTCTGAGCACTCCTGTCATTCCCAGATATGTGTGTTGCGAGACACAGTTTACTTTCATGAGGTGTTTACATTCATGAGTCTTTAACCAAGTTTTCTATGCCTTCCTGTTTTGGAGTTATTCTACACAGTCATAACATTCCTTGGTGTCTTTTAGAAAGATTTGGTATATGACTAAGTTTGGCAAGGCTTCTAGGTGATCCTGAAGTACTTAACTCTGCCAAGGATCTTTGCTACTAGCTAAACCTTGACATGGTCTCCCAAATCCAGCTTGGACTTGTGAAGGGCTGAGGAGAGGACAGCCCTGTGTCCAGATTGGCTGCAGTTCTTCAAAGATAGACCAACCCTTTCCCAGAGTGTTAGAGAGACAATCCTCCATTTCTGGACTCTCTGGCCTGCACCATGTATCATGCCTGAAGACAGAGGTGGAGGAGAAAGCAACAGCCTGGATACGCTAAGGGAGGGATGGCTAAAGAGGCAGCCCAAGAACTGGCTGTACTTACAGCAGCCTTCACAATCAGACGTGTCCAAGTTGCATCCAGCTTAGCCCTGGGCACATTTCAACCTATCTGCACTACCTCTGAACTGCAACGAGCCATCAATTTGTCCATCTCTTACTGCCTACAGAATGGAAAGGGCAACACTAAACGTTTTGCTTCAAGAGAGAAAGTCTTGAGGAGTAATTTCCAGCATATGATTCCTAAAACTCTGCAAATGTGGAGACGCTGAGTGACTCAGTGGACTAAGGTTGGCCAGGCAATAAAAATTAATTCTATTTGGCTTCTGGTGTAGTACACAGCTTTTGGTCAGCTATTTAATCTTTCACACTCTCCCTTATTCTGAAGAGTTAGGACCCAGCTCAGGGCATGCTCTGATATTCTCTGGAGCTGCAAAAGTAGAACTGCCAAGCACCACTTGTATCATGTTGGTTATACACCTTAGAGGCTTAAATGGTAGTGCTGACAGACCCTTAGTAATAGTGTTATAGGCATTAGCACATCTATAATAAGTACAGGTAAATAATGGAGCTACAGAACTGATGGACAGGGGTAGAGCAATTGATGTCATCTACCTGGACTTGTGCAAAACGTTTGACACTGTGCCACACAACATCCTTGTCTCTAAATTGGAGAGACATCAATTTGATGGATGGACCACTCGGTGGATAAAGAACTGGCTGGTGGGCCACACACAAAGAGCTGTGGTCAATGGCTCAATGTCCGGCTGGAGACCAGTAATGAGTGGTGTTCCTCAGGGATCAGTGTTGGGACCGGTCTTGTTTAACATCTTTGTCGCTGACATGGACAGTGGGATTGAGTGCACCCTCAGCAAGTTTGCTGATGACACCAAGCTGTGTGGTTTGGTTGATACGCTGGAGGGAAGGAATGCCACCCAGAGGGACCTTAACATGCTTGTGAGGTGGGCTGATGCCAACCTCATGAAGTTTAACCATGCCAAGTGCAAGGTCCTACACCTGGGTTGGAGCAATCCCAGGCACAGCTACAGGTTGGGCAGAGAAGAGATTCAGAGCAGCCCTGCGGAGGACTTGAAGGTGTTGGTTGGTGAGAAATGAACATAAGCCAGCTTCAGTGTGAACTTGCAGCCCAGAAAGCCAACCGTATCCTGGGCTGCACCAAAAGGAGCATGACCAGCAGGTCAAAGGAGGTGATCCTGCCCCTCTACTCTGCTCTTGTGAGACCTCACTTGGAGTATTGTGTGCAGTTCTGGTGTCCTCAACATAAAAAGGATGTGGAACTGTTGGAACAAGTCCAGAGGAGGGCCACGAGGATGATCAGGGGACTGGAGCACCTCCCATATGAAGATAGGCTGAGAAAGCTGGGGCTGTTCAGCCTGAAGAAGAGAAGGCTGCATGGAGACCTCATAGCAGCCTTCCAGTATCTGAAGGGGGCCTATAGGGATGTTGGGGAGGGACTCTTCATTAGGGAATGTAGTGATAGAACAAGAGGTAATGGGTTAAAACTTAAATGGGAAGTTTAGTTTAGATATAAGGAGGAAATTCTTTCCTGTTGGGTGGTGAGGCACTGGAATGGGTTGCCCAGTGAGGTTGTGAATGCTCCATCCCTGGCAGTGTTCAAGGCCAGGTTGGACGAAGCCTTGGGTAATATGGTTTAGAGCGAGGTGTCCCTGCCCATGGCAGAGGGGTTGGAACTTGATGATCTTAAGGTCCTTTCCAACCCTAACTATTCTATGATTCTATGGTTCTAAATGTCATCTTTGTGTTTATTTTGTGCTCAAGTGGATCGCCAAAATCAGTCTATTGCTTCACACATATTAAGTAACCTGTCTTTTCATTCTGTGAAATGTCCTGAATCGTAAGGATTTGTGGCTTTCTGTACCACAAATCCTCTGCCAGAGCTTGCACATGGCATGAGTTAAATAAGATCTGATTTGCTTTCTTTCCATTTCTTTTCAGGTTTACAAGTTTGTATGCTTATATCATGAAGCCACATTCTTATATTGCCTAGCTTTTCTTTCATAATCTTGGTGTGTTGAGTGACATTAGCAATTAAAGTACTGTGAGTATGTTCCATCAGTAATGAAAGTCTTCACAGCTTTCTCAGCTACTGTTCATAGTACATATTTCATAGTACTGAAATATGAAGAATGCATGCTGCTTGAGCTTGCCATTTGTCTTTAAGAAACAGTGGTTCTTGAACAGCCTGATGCAGTATCCATGTCTTGGTGATACACAGAAACACAACAGTCTTGTGCTCCACCAGCATCATTTTTCCAGCTGTTGAAACTGAGATTTTTATCTCTGTAACACATGAAAGAAGACAGAAGAAGTGGCCTGGATGCTAGCAGAATAGCAGAGAAATAATGACAATATCACACTATCACAATATCTGCACTCTGGATGCATTTAAGAAACCCAAAATGAAAACTTTTCATTTGAATGCTTAGGGTTTTGTTAAGCATAAATTGAATGGAAATAAGGAGTTTGTGGCTGATGCAAAGAAAACACTAGCTATTCTCACAGATTAATTGCAGTCCTACTACTGCAGTTCATAAAAAAGCAATCTGTAACCATACTCTATTTGAAATGTCGGGGAGAAAATGCAGTTCTTGATATAAAGTGAAAATGAAGCGTGCAATATAATCAGGTACTCCTTCAATAGCTCAGAAACTCTTCTGCCTATGCAGATCTTG